ACATAACTATGAGGACTTGATTTTGGCGTTGTTTAGTAAATATTTAGCCTATTAGTTAATTTTGACTTATTTAGCAATTATTAACTGTTTGACTTGGTTAACAATCAATATTAGTGTTTGATTAATTAGCTTTTTGTAACAACTTAATTATTGCTCCAAAATGCTAAAATTTAAAAAGTTGTTCAGAATAGCTTTTTTCGATCAGCTTTTTGAGAAAGTCATTTTGTATGTAATCAGCTAATAGCTAACATCTAATTTACGAAATATTTTTCTACAATCAACTAATGCTGCGCTATCAACTTGTCAAACACACTAACCAAATCAGCTAACATTTATATTCACACCCATATTCTGGATTCTGAAAACAATATATATATATATATATATATATATATATATATATATATATATATATAATCTCAAAATACAATTATGCATATTTAGGCAACTTGAACAACTGAACGTTAATCAGTAAATACATACCATTTATTGAAAGAGTGTGTTGATAGTGTGTTGTAATAAGAATGTCGCCCGTTAGCTCGTAGCAATCCTCAATGAAACGAATTAGATGTATACGAACAATTAAGGACACACACACACATATATATGGTATAATAAAGGCATACAATAATGATAAATAATTACATCTGTTACAGACATTACAAAGCTCTTATTAATGTCCACCATAAATCTTTTTATTTATAACAATTATTTAATTATAATGCCATGAAAGAATTATTATATTTTTATGTTTGTCGATTCTTCTCCATTTTAAAAAATAAAATCAATAATGTTTTCATAAATGTCATTTTGTGGGTTTTTATTTTTTTTTTATTTTTTTAATTTTTTTAAATACAAATATTAGTTTACTTGACAACTAATTTTACTAATCATTTTTAACTTTAAGCCATCTAACTTCAATAGATTTTAACTTTCACCTTTTAACTTGTAACATTTTAAACTTTTGCTTTTAACTAAATGTCTCAAGTCAATAACTACAAAATTGAAATTTTAGTTACTTAATAATTTGGACTAAGGCTCAAATAGGTCACCAAGCTACATACAAATATAATTGAGTCATCAAACTTAAAAAAAAAAAAAAAAAAAAAAAAAAAAAAAAAAAACTACAATTAATTAAGTTCCTGAATAGTTTAAAATTATGCAATTAAACCAACATTGACATGTCCCTCAGGCAGAGACAAAGGTGTGTGTTTTTGTTTTGTTTTGTTTTTTTTTTTTTTTAACTTTTTTTTTAATTTAAATTTAGTAAAATAAATTTAAAATAGTATTTTTTTAATAGAGTGACTGAGACATCAACAATAACGTGAAGAACATGTCAATTTTAGTTTAATTGCATAATTTTAAAATGTTCAGGGATCCAATTATAATTTTTGAGTTGGATAACTCAATTGAATTTTCATGTGTAATTCGGTAATTTATTTGAGCCTTATTCCTAACAATTTCTAGTTAAAATGAGCTCACCAAATGTAAAAAGTTTTGAAGTTAAAAGAATATTATGAACTCCAAAATTCAAATTTACATCAATCAAGAAGTCCAAATGCAAACCACGACCAGATACGGATGGAAACTAATTTTCAACTTTATTCAAAAGTTTATCTAAAAACAATAATATTCTAAAATGATTTTCTTGTTATAATTGTGTCTGTTTGGCCGATTAGCTCCTAACCGGTAAATTGCAAGCAGTAAATAGAGATGAAAAATAGAAACAAGATAATATGGAGAAGAGTAAGAAATTTTATTATAACACACACACACACACACACATATACATACATACATATATATATATATATATATATATATATATATATATATATATATAACGGAAGACATAGTAAAGTCATTAATCTCCTGACCGTTACATAATCAATAGAAATAATGTTCATATTAAATAAGGTTTATAACACTCCCCTTTGGACATTATTTGTCCATGATCTTGCTTCATTAAAAACGTGATAGGAAAAATCTGTGGGAAAAAACTTAAACAAGAAAAGAGTAGAAGGTATATAGTATATTTGAATACATTCATGCCTCGTTGAAAACTTCACTAGGAAAATCGCGTGGGAAAAACCTAGTTGAAGAAAAGAGTACATGATATTTGTAAAACCATATAGTGTACTGATTGTCTCATTAAAAACCTTAACTTAAAGAAAATCATGTGGGGAAAACTTAGTTAAGGGAGAAGAGTACAACCATAAGCCTTCAAGGCATAATCTTCAGGACTTTGGGGTTTGTCTACTTAAGCATTTATTTTGCAACTTTTTCCATTGACATTACTATATCATACTCATGCTTCGTTAAAACCCACACTAGAAAAACTCAATGGGAAAAAACTTAGTGAGGAAAAGAGTACATGGTATGTATATGTTGTAAAAGTACAACTGTTAATCCTTTTAAGACCCAATTTACAAGATTGATTCGAGTAAATGTACTTTTCGTCTCCTCCTGAAGATAGCTTAAAGTAAAGCCATTGTTTCAATAGTGTAGAGAGGGATACATTACAATCTTTAGGATTATCGTCATTAGAATTTTATAAAATAATCTGGTGACTCTTCTAGAGCATACGTGGGTTGAATATTTATATAACTTGTCCACTATCCTTTTAAATATATCCACTTAAAATTGGTATAAGACAAACTTTATTATCCCCATATAAGATAGTGGAGGTAAAGCAAAATATAACCAGTTGAAATTTGGCATCAAGAGGTCAAAACAAAGAGCTAATGCCCAAGTGGTCTAAGAAAAACACACATTGCTTTATTGCATGAATTTCAAAAATCTTTATACCCAAGTGGCATTTGTTAATACATCCTGAAACACTGGTTGACAAGCTGTTAAAGGCGAAATACTATCCCAACAACGACTTCATGGAGGCGAAAGTAGGGGGGAATCCTAGTTTCATCTGGCGAAGTATATTGGCGGGGCAAAAGGTCTTAAGATTGGACATTGATCGTCGGTGGGGATGAGCTAGATACCAAGATCTGGATCAAGATTATCATATAATATAAACAATTTGAAGGCAACTGTGTTGCATTTTTCTGAGATTTCATACCAAACCATATATCTAACAAGCATATAATCTAATAAATATATTCAAAGCACACAAATGTGATAGGATAAGCTGATGAATGAAATCTGATTATCTAGCTATATTCTATTGTCTCTGTCTTCTTTCATTCTACATTCAATATTATTTATTATACATAAGTTCATCATCAGTTAAGAGTTAAGGGCTAACAAGCACCCAATTACAACATATCCCTATTAATTACTGTTAGCCAAAAGGGATTGATTCAAGTCAACATTACAATTTTCCAAATCTGAAGATTCACAAATAATTGTAATAATTTCTTTTTGGTCATCCTGTAATTTATTTGCACCATGGTCCTCGGCTTTTCCCCAGAGTACCACATATAGCCCAACTATTACAGCAACCGCTCCTGCCAAGCTGTGAAAGAAAATAACGATCCTTCACTTCAAAATTTACAGTGAAAAAAATTATGCGGTGTATGATAAATAGTTGTTAGCTGATTGGATTAGTGAGTTTGACTAGTTGATAACATTCGTTGATTGTAGTAAAGTGTTTGGTAAATTAGCTGTTAGCTGATATCTAATTAAATGCAAAATGACTTAACTTTATCAAAAAACTGTTCGAAAAAATTGTTTTAAGCAGTTTTTTTTTTTTTAATTTTATCATTTTGAAATAATAAGTTGTTCCAAAAAGCTAATTAATGAAACACTCATATTGATTGTTTAACCAATCAAGTCAAACAGCTAATAGTGGTCAAATAAGCCAAAATTGACTGATAAACTAACTATGTTACCAAACAGGGCTTATATATTTTCAATTTTGTACCATCAATTTTGTGAACTATTTTTTTTTTATCATTTTTAATATAATTAACTCATGGTAAAATCTACTAGTATACAGTAAATTTAAAAAAAAAAAAAATTAAAAATAGAGAGTGATCCAAAGAATGAAAATATACAAGTACTACTGTACTAGCAATGATATACACTAGTAACGATTAGGAGAATATAATTGAATTGAAACTTTATGAAATCTTAAATACTAATTAAATAATTTCAAGATGAAAAAAGTATTATAAATATTATTATGTTTTAGAGTTATATAATATACCTGCCAGCGTACAATTCTTCATGCATAAAGAGAGAGGCGTAGACAGTTACAAGGACGGTGCATAAAGGATTGAACATTGCTGCGAAGAGTGGGCCCCTTCTTGATATGCACCATACTTGCCCAAAGAATGATACGGCTGATGCTAATCCCTGCAGTTTATTTTACCGGTTGTTATACTTATACCATGGACCAGTGTTCACGTCCTAAAGTGAATTTGAGTTCAAAATACATAATTTATATATTAAATATTAAAAATTTACATACACAATTTAATTTTTATAAAATTATAAACATTCAATATGTAAATTTTGTATTTTGAACCCAAGCGCCACATAATAATTTGTCTTATTTTACGAATACCAACACAATATAATGATTTCCCAAACTATATAATTCTTTGGGTTATTATTATTATTATTATCATATCATTTAGTAATCATTGATGGATTTCAAATTTGGTCATTTATTTATAAGATGCTGTTATTTTATTTAAATTTAATTATCAACATTTTACATTATTCTACATATTTTAAATAATTTATATAAAAAATGCCAATGTAATTAACAATTAATAGTAACCATATAATTATCAAACCAATAATTAGTTAAAACAATAATGAACTTTTAAAGAAAAATTATTCTTCGAGTGGTCTCTCGCTATGAATGTTGTGTACTATGTGAACGAGTCCAGTCGAACCCGAATAGTCAAATTGCTTGAAACTTTGTTCGATTTGAAAATTGAAGGTCAAACTCTAATTTTTTTGACAAATTATAAACTATAACAGATACCACAATAATTAAAATAATTGTGTTGAGAAAATAAAGTTAACTGGATTAATTATATACTTACTGTGTAGAGGCAGGAAATAAGTTGAAGATTTGAATCTAATTTCCAAACACTGGGATCAGGTTCTATGAAGAATGTGAGAATTGCAGATTGCACTGCTGCAATGAAGCATAGCCAGGCTGTTAAGGATAGATGATCTGGGTAACATTCAGAAGCTGCCACCTATTCCATATTTATATGCCCATAATTAATTTAGCTAAGTTAATTAACCTCTAATAATTGATATTAAGATCTAAGGTAATCTTCCCCGCACGGGTTTACTTCACTTGTTTAGTAGGCAGTATTTGGGGGAAGAGACCAATGTTTGAATCTCGGCAGCGGGCAACAGCAGTACGTGTAGGGATTATGCCCAAAGTGGGCAGATCCCTCCGGCATTTGGCCCAGTCTGCTGAGCCATTGACTCACCGTGATTTACATCATCTCAAATGCTCTGTCGGGTCGGAGTGTGGAGGGCCCTTAGGGTTAGAGATTTAATAATATATATATATATGTATGTATATTTGTGATAATGATAATAATAAATACCTGCAAAACAAGCCAAAATGACCAGCAAATTGTGCTTCCAATGAGCAATAAACAACCAAGCAACCAAGAAGTCCAAATCTCATCACCTCCTCCCATCATCCCATCAAATGCTACTATCAATTCTGCATTCAATAGCTTTGGCCCTTTCACAAATGCCATGCAAATTGCTCCAACTGCACATATCAGTGTGCCAAAGATCTTTGCCATGCTTCTCACACTTCCCATTTGCACTTTCTCTAATCTAATACATATATATAATCACAAATTTAATAATACTACTTAACACTATAGCTATAGCTTATCACTCCATGCGCCAAAAGCTATAGTTCACAGCAAAGACACAATTTTATTTCTTTATATATCGCTACATTTTTAAGAGGTAGGGTGTTGGCTGGACTTGGCCCTTCACCAACCTCAGCCTAACCTAAGTTGTGTTTGATTGATTATCTATTAAAAAAAGTCTTATAATTTTACACTTAACCAATTATATATATTGGTGAAGGGATTAAAATTAGAGTGGTGCAACATTTTAACAGTTCCAATAGCTTTTCTAGATGCACTTTACACCAATTTTATACTCCAAATTCAATTTAATTAGAAGTAAATATGGTAATTACATGCTAAAATGCTTACCCTATGGGCCATGCCACTAGGAAGGTGATAGCAGGAACAAGATTTCCTGTTGCACTTGCGGTTGACGATGAGGCCAAGTATATACCCTCAAAATAAATGTTCTGACTGATTGTTATACTGCCAAAATATCATATTTATCAAATTAATATTGAATTTATTTGACAGTGGAGAAAAAAAGAAATATATATTATTATCAATTAATTTACTTACCCTATGAGTGCCAACAAAAAAATTAACCAAAAGCTCTTCCATCCCATGCGACAAGAACTTGTGTTCCTCCTGTATCAGATACATATATAGAGACAAATTAAGGTTAATTATTAACAAAATTGTTCATTATCATTTTAATTACCTCTTGGTGTTTAGAAATGCAAGCAAGTAAAATCCCCATCTTGAATGATATGATACAACAAAAGTAGTATACTTAGGTTTAAATCTGAAACCTTGGGCCACTCACCCCTGTCGTAGGGATGGTAAGAGGTGATAAATTGCGGGATGTGCCTCAGTAAGGCAGGGATTGAGTACTTGTTTTTTATCCTAAATCTGAGTTCCTTCCCTAATGAAGATTCGAACTTGAGTATTTGTTGGGTCACTACACCCACACTTAACATTTAATTTCGACCTCTGAGCTATGTTCTGGGGCACAAAAGTAGTATACTTTTTTGTGGTGATGAGGGAAACCTACAACAACTACTAGAAAGTATGCACTGAGTAAACTCCGTCTTATATATGACCCTAGCCGGAAAAGGACTATAAGGAAGTAAACCAGTCTAAGTTGTCCAGAGCTGACAGTCGAACTCGTGACCGTGAGTGCGGTAACCTTTCTCATATTAGTTGGTCATAGTATACCTTGAAGAAATGTATGCAACAGGGGCAATGAGCAAGAAGGCTATGGCTTGCCTATAAACCACAAAGACCATAGAGCTCATCCCTTGTAAAAGAGAAGCTCTAATGGAGAGATTGACCCCTGCATACATGCATTGCAAGCCAACCATGGCAATTGTAGGCTTGTGATTTTCCAAACCCATTTGCCTTTTCCCTTTGGATGATTAGACTAGCTCTTACTCTCTCTCTCTCTCTCTCTCTCTCTCTCTCTCTCTCTCTCTCTCTCTCTATATATATATATATATATATATATATATATATATATATATATATATATATATATATATATATATATATATATATATATATATATATATATACAAGCTGTCCCTAGCTCGGATACATCCAATTCAGCCCAGATGTGTTTGTGATGATCTACATGATGCAATCCCAACTCTTAGACGATAGATTTTTAAATACAAATATTTAATTTTATACCCGCCAATTCTTAGAAGAAAAAAAGAAAATTATTTGCCTTTAGTTACCCACCGTAACATGTGTATGTTTAATTTCTTATGTGGGCAGGAAGATTTCTCATTAATTTCAATAAAAATGAGGTGGTTTTATTATGATTACTATATCGTAATTAATTAATTATGCTAATTATGACATCCGTTTAAATATGGATGTAATATATGTACATTTAATTAATATTATGCTAATTATGATTATGATGTCTGTTTAAATATGGACGTAATATGCTTATGTTTTTTTTTTTTTAATTACACACCGTAATATGTGTATGTTTAATTTCCTATATATATGGGCAGGAAAATTTATCATTAATTCAAATAAAAATGAGATCATTTTATTATGATTACTATATGATAATTAATTAATTATGCTAATTATGATGTCTGTTTAAATTAAATATGGATGTAATATGTGTACGTTTAATTAATATTATGCTAATTATGACGTCCGTTTAAATATGTACGTAATATGTGTACGTTTAATTTCTTTTAATTATGTCTGTAATATGTGTGTGTTTAATTTTCTTTAATTATGTCTGTAATATGTGTACCATTAATTTCCACAGCAAATATAAAAAAAAAAAAAAAAAAAAAAAAAAAAAAAAAAAAAACAGATTAATAAAAGTATAATGTGTGAATTTATTTATTAATTACCATAATTATTAAAATTTTATTCAAAAATAATCATTAGCATAATTTTATATGTGTAATAATCTATGAACTGAAATAATTTGAATAATTGTATGGACGTAATAATTTTCCGCGAATACGAGGATGGGGACAATTTTCATTTACCCGCCAGGGATGTAGACAAATCAGAGACGAAAACGAGATCGGAGTTTCGAGAACTGGGAGGGGATATCATCAAAAGATCAATAAACCATGCAAATACTCCCATTGTTTTCAAGTTGGCACGTGACTCCTAATAATTGTATAGGATATGTTATATCAATTTTAATATAATTTTTATGCATAATAATTTTATGTTATTCTCAACTGAGCAAAAACAGTCATTCTTATTATGTATGCTAGTTTTTTACGCACATTGCGCGATTGGAATAATGCCCAATGTTTTTTTTTTTTTTTAAATAAGTACTTTAAAGTATATCAAGACAAGATTATATTGGAATTGTTCATGCATAGATAATTGAATGTTAAATTTGCATATTTAAATAGGCAATTCTAAATTTACAAATGCAAGATAATATAGTCAAGATTGATTATAATTGTCAATAAAATAATTGTATAGGTATGGTTGAAACTAAATACGGGACAAAAGGGAGAACAAATAAAAATTAGGGCATAAAATATTAAATATATACTAATATTGAAGAGCTAATATTGTCAAACGAGGACATTGCGAGATAGTTTCCCACTTCAATTTGTTGTGTGATTTGAATACTCTTTTGTCAATAAATCCCCCAAGTAGTTAATATGATTGCTTAATTATATATATATATATATATATATATATATATATATATATTAAAACAATTATTATTATTATTATTATTACTATTATTATTATTATTATTATTATTATTATTATTATTATTATTATTATTATTATTATTATTATTATTATTATTACGTATACCCTTAGGTCATATTACATGTTAATCTAAACAACTAATTTTTTAAAATATCTTTTTACCAACCGTTGATATAATTCGCTGGTCAAATTCGCTAATATAATCCACTAACGCTAACCGCTAACTGCTGATTGTCAAACAAGGATATTGCGAGGTAGTTCTCACTTCAATTTGTTGTGTGATTTGAATACTCTCTTTGCCAACAAATCTCTCAAGTAGTTAATATGATTGGTTGTATTAATTATGTATTTTTAAATTTTTTCATGGTATTAATAAAATACTTGGTAAATAAATATATAGTATTATTTTGTATTATAACTTTGATATTTAATTAAAAAAATAGTGCACAAAAAAAAGATAATAGATAATGTAGTGAATATAATCAATTGATAAATTTGGATGTAAACAATTTTTACATTGAAGAAATATAAAGACAATATAACTAATAAAATTATTTCTCTTAATTAATTTATTGATAATGAATAATTTTTTTAATAAAGACATTGTAGGAACAATGTAGCGAATATAATCAATTGATGAATTTGAATGTAAAGAACTTTTATATTCGAGAAAAATAAATACAATATAACTAATGAAATTATTTCTCTTATTTAATTTATTGATAATGAATAATTTTTTTTTAATAAAGACATTGTAGACACATAATTCTAAATTAAAGAAATGCATATGTATTTTTTTTGTTGTAGCTACTAAATTATTATTTTAATTTAATAAGAGTAAAATAGAGTACTAATTATGCCAACTTTGATTGGGATGTGGTTCGAACCTAAGATCTTTCTTGATAAAATCAATGAGTAAGTTAACGGTGAACTAACAGAAATTAATGAAAAAGTTAACGGATAATCATATTCATTAAGAATAAATTAGGAAATCTTAAGGAAAAATTAAAATCTGATCAATCTGAGCCATTCATTTGATAAAAAAAGTTTGACCGCCATTTTTTCTACTCATTATAGGCCTAACTCTCTTGGGCTCTTATTAATATAGTAGATAGTAGATAATAACAAATTTGTAAGTCAATTCAAGTCATTAATTTTAAAATTTATGTTAAAGAAATAATTAAAAGTCTACTAATATTCTAAAAGTTTGGTATTAAATTATCCATTTTAAATGATTTGGACATAATTGGAACATCCCTCAAAGGTTTGTGGTTCCCCGGCTTCCCCCGAATAAGCCTATTCAGAACACTATGGACTTTAGAAATATAGCTATTTTCAACTAGACCTAATGGCTAATAATTCAGTTCGTATTTTATGTTCATCTTCATGTCATGTTTAAATTATACTCCGTATCTACTATATATATATATATACTAGTTTTTTACGCCCATTGCGCGATTGGGATAATGCCCAATGTTTTTTTTTTTTAAATAAGTACTTTAAAGTATATTAAGGCAAGATTATATTGAAATTGTTCATGCATAGATAATTGAAGGTTGAATTTGCGTATTTAAATAGGTAATTCTTCTCCCAAAGGTTGAGTCCCCTACCCCAAGGGCCCCCCACACTCTGACCCGACAGAGCATTGTAGGAAGTTGTAAATCACGGTGACTCAATGGTTCAGCAGACAGGACCAAATGTCGGTGCGAACAAGGAATCTGCCCACTTTGGACATAATTCCCGCACTGCCGCCGCCGAGGTTCAAACCTTGGTCTCTTCTCCCAAATACTGCCCACTAAACCATTGAGCTAAGCCCGTGCGGGTTAAATAAGTAATTCTAAGTTTACAAATGCAAGATAATATAGTCAAGATTGATTATAATTGTCAATAAAATAATTGTATAGGTATGGTTGAAACCAAATACGGGACATAAGGGAGAACAAATAAAAATTAGGGCATAAAATATTAAATATATACTAATATTGTTTGAGGAGATTTCGACATTAGGATTTGTGGTTAAGTTCTATTAAGACTTTAATATTAGAATTAGATTAATGGTGTAATTATAATTCTATATTAGACGTTAATATTATAATTAGACTAACGGTGAATTAATGGTATTTAACGAAAAAGTTAAATGGATAATCATATAATTAAGGATAAATTAGAAAAATTTTTTTAAAAAAAATTAAAACCTGAACAATTTGAACCATTCATTTGATTTAATAATTTGGCGGTCATTTTTTCTACCCAATGTTAATAATTAAATAAATTCGTTGGTCAAATCCGCTAATATAATCCGCGTGCTAATTGCTGATTGTCAAACAAGGACATTGCAAGGTAGTTCTCACTTCAATTTGTTGTGTGATTTGAATACTCTTTTTGTCACAAAATCTCTCGAGTAGTTAATATGGTTGGCTTTATTAATTATATATTTTTTTAATTTTTTCATGGTATTAATAAAATACTTGGTAAATAAATATATAGCATTATTTTGTATTATAACTTTGATATTTAATTAGAAAAATAGTGCAAAAAAAAAAGATAATAGACAATGTAGTGAATATAATCAATTGATGAATTTGAATGTAAAAATTTTTACATTTGAGAAAAATAAAGACAATATAACTAATGAAAATATTTCTCTTAATTAATTTATTGATAATGAATAATTTTTTTTCACTGAATTAAGACATTGTAAGGACAATGTAGCGAATATAATCAATTAATAAATTTGAATATAAAGAATTTTTATATTGTAGAAAAATAAAGACAATATAACTAATACAATTATTTCTCTTATTTAATTTATTGATAATGAATAATTTTTTTTGAATAAAGGCATTGTGGACACATAATTCTAAATTAAAGAAATGCATATCTATAATTTTTTGTTGTAGCTACTAAATTATTATTTATATAATTTAATAAGAGTAAAATAGAGTACTAATTATGCCAACTTTGATTGGGATGGGGTTCGAACCTAAGACCTTTTTTTTTTTTTTATTGAAATCAATGAGTAAGATAACGGTGAACTAACGGCAATTCTTAAAATTTTAACGGAATTAGTAACGGTGTGTGGGTATTTTAGTGTAAAATTTAAATCTTATCAATCTTCTAATCAATCTAAGCCATTCATTTGATTAAAATCTGTGACCGCCATTTTTTCTACCCATTATAGGCCTAACTCTCTTGGGCTCTTATTAGTATAGTAGATATATATATATATATATATATATATATATATATATATATATTAATAAGAGCCCAAGAGATAGGCCTATAATGGGTAGAAAAAATGGTGGTCACAGATTTTAATCAAATGAATGGCTCAGATTGATTAAAAGATTAATCAGATTTAAATTTTACACTAAAATTTCCTAAAATACCCACACACCGTAACTAATTCCGTTAAAATTTTAAGAATTGCCGTTAGTTCACCGTTAACTTACTCATTGATTTCAATAAAAAAAAAAATGTCTTAGGTTCGAACCTCATCCCAATCAAAGTTGACATAATGATATAAATAATAATTTAGTAGTTACAACAAAAAATAATACATATGCATTTTTTAATTTAGAATTATGTGTCCACAATGCCTTTATTCAAAAAAAAAATTATTCATTATCAATAAATTAAATAAGAGAAATAATTTTATTAGTTATATTGTCTTTATTTTTCTTCAATATAAAAATTCTTTATATTCAAATTTATTAATTGATTATATTCGCTACATTATCCTTACAATGTCTTTATTCAGTGAAAAAAAATTATTAATTATCAATAAATTAATTAAAAGAAATATTTTCATTAGTTATATTGTCTTTATTTTTCTCAAATGTAAAAAATTTTACATTCAAATTCATCAATTGATTATATTCACTACATTATCTATTATCTTTTTTGTGCACTATTTTTCTAATTAAATATCAAAGTTATAATACAAAATAATGCTATATATTTATTTACCAAGTATTTTATTAATACCATGAAAAAATTAAAAAAATATAATTAATAAAGCCAACCATATTAACTACTTGAGAGATTTTGTAACAAAGAGAGTATTCAAATCACAGAATAAATTGAAGTGAGAACTACCTCGCAATGTCCTTGTTTGACAATGAATTTATTTGTTTATTAACATTGGGTAGAAAAAATGACCGCCAAATTATTAAATCAAATGAATGGTTTATATTGTTCATGTTTTAATTTTTTTCTTTTAAGATTTTCTAATTTATCCTTAATTATATGATTATCCATTTAACTTTTCCGTTAATTCACCGTTAGTCTAATTCTAATATTAAAGTCTAATATAGAATTATAACTACACCATTAATCTAATTCTAATATTAAAGTCTTAATAGAACTTAACCACAAATCCTAATGTCGGAATCTCCTCAAACAATATTAGTATATATTTAATATTTTATGCTCTAATTTTTATTTGTTCTCCTTTATGTCCCGTATTTGGTTTCAACCATACCTATACAATTATTTTATTGACAATTATAATCAATCTTGACTATATTATCTTGCATTTGTAAACTTAGAATTACTTATTTAACCCGCACGGGCTTAGCTCAATGGTTTAGTGGGTAGTATTTGGAAGAAGAGACCAAGGTTTGAACCTCAGCGGCGGCAGTGCGAGAATTATGTCCAAAGTGGGCAGATTCCGTGTGCGTATCAGCATTTGGCCCTGTCTGCTGAACCATTGAGTCACCGTGATTTACAACTTCCCACAATGCTCTGTCGGGTCGGAGTGTGGGGGGCACTTGGGGTTGGGGACTCAACCTTTGGGAGAAAAATTACCTATTTAAATACGCAAATTCAATCTTCAATTATCTATACATGAACAATTTCAATATAATCCTGCCTTAATATACTTTAAAGTACTTATTTAAAAAAAAAAAAAAAAAAAAGCATTGGACATTATCCCAATCGCGCATTGCGCGTAAAAAACTAGTTGTTTAAATAGGTGACTAATGGGTTTGAGCTCATATATAAATAGACTAGTTAAGTTTAATAAACCTATATAACAAATTTGAATCCCAATATAAAATGTGTTAATATAACACGATAGAATAATAAGTTACAAATTACGTACATGGATTAACATGACCTGAATAGATATATATGGTAATCTATTAACTTGCAATAAATAAACTATGCCAACATATACACTCTTCCAAATATGCATGCTCTTACTTATGATCATTGGCTTTTAATGAAGAGATTGCTTTGGTATGTTAAAGGTACTCCGTATTCTTAATTAGGGATGGCAATATGCCCCGTCCCCGTCGGGGATCCCCGGCCCCGTAGGGGATGGGGACGGGGATGGGGAAAAATTTCGGGGATCGGGGACTGGGATGGGAAATTTTTGAATTCCCCGGCGGGGACGGGGATGGGGACGGGGATACCCCTCCCCGCCCCGCCCCGTCCCCGAATAATTATTATAACTAAAATAAATTATATATATATATATATATATATATATATATATATATATATATATATTACATAATGCTACGGTACACAGTACATTGCTAATACTACTTATTTTAGTTATAATAGTATATATATATTACTTAATGCTACTGTGTACAGTAGCATTGCTACTGTGTACCGTAGCATTATGTAATATATATATATATATATATATATATATATATATATATATATAATTTTTTTTAAAATTAAGATTTAAATTTTTATTTTAAAATTAAAAATTACACTAATTTTATATTTTAACTAAGAATTGATCGAGGACGGGGAATCTCCGTCCCCGCCAAATTCCCCGCGGGGACGGGGATGGGGACTATTTTTAATTCCCCGCTGGGGATGGGGACGGGGACGGGGACGGGGAGTATACTCCCCGCCCCCGCCCCGCCCCGTTGCCATCCCTACTCTTAATTGTGGACCTGTGGTATTCGTTTTACTAAATTAAAGTACAAAGTTGTAACTAATGGTGTAGCTAAGCTAAGGTAACTAACTTAGCATCTCTGATCTTCTTAATGAATTGGTTGTTCCTGCAAGTTGCTAACTTGAGAGCTACCTATTTGTGTGTTAATACTATTTTTTATTAACGAATCAATAAATATGTTGAGATTGACTATCACTATGTTCAGAACAAAGTTACCTCCAAACAATTACAAGTAAACTCCATCCTCACTAAGTATAAAATAGCTAATATTTTCATCAAAATTCTGACTTTCTCAGGTTTCCACGTGTTACGTGACAAGCTTCGTATTACTTCTCACTATCCTTAATTTAGCATAAGGGGAAGTATTAGAAATATTATTATTTGTATAAGAAATAAGAAATTTACCATCTATCAAGTGATTGAGTTTGATCGTATTTCCTTATTCCTAGTAGGGTTTGTATTCCTATTAGAATGTATACATGCTCCTTATATATACCTGCAAATATCATTGCATAATCAATACACATAAAATCTCTTTCAACATATATACTCTCATATAGTATAATTCTCTTACCTGAAGGTCACAAATTCAATTCTTTTTTATATCGTCACAATCAAACTCAATACACATAATTTTTTACTACAATTTATCTCACACTCGAATAGGACTGAGGTTTTTCTCATCACCTAAAAACATTTTTAAAAAACGATTCACCATGGCATTTAGTAACATATTTTTATAAAACTTTTGACCATTAACATTTAAATTTGAGAAATATTTATGCTTTATAAATTGAATATATTCATGCATGTCACGCAAGTGAATTTGTTTTGTTTGTTTATATATTTGTTTTGATTGCATGGTAGTTATGAATAATATATTTGATTGGGGATCTGTACCCGGTCCAACATTGGCATCATATCGAATCTTTGTTGGTTTATTGCATGTATTCATGATATGTCTTAAAGGCATAAATCATTGAATTTTTGTTGTTTTCTTGGATATAATAATATATAGCATCGTATCACATGTGGCGATTGCAGCAAACTTGTTGCAGATCAGAGGGCGGCTTTCATGTGGACTCGCTGTTTCCTGCCACGCGCACCACAAATTGGTAAACTATATCATGTATGTTCTTCGAGGTTGTACTTATAATGTGAACTTAACTATAAATTTTTATTTTATTTTTTTTTTTTTGCCTTATAAATTTATTTTTAGTAAATTCATTATATTTGATATAAATTATTTTTTCAGTTCATTTTAAAGCTGTATTTGGAAATCCAGTAAATGTTTTTTGAAAATCATTTTTCGAGTTCAGTATTTGGAAGAGTTTGAAAAATCGAATTCAACGGAAATCATTTTCCGATCAAAAGAAAAACAGTGGGCAAATTATGCTGAAAACGGTGGGCAAATTATGTTGTACAACCATGTGCATCATACATGGTGCACACAGAATTAGATTCATAATTTCAAATCACTGAACTATATATTCATAATTTGATAACTATATAGTTTAAAAATTATGAATCTACAATATAAAAATTATAAATTTACAGTACAGATATTATGAATCTACAATTTAGAAATTATGAATCTACAGTATAAAAATTATGAATCTATAGTATAGAAATTATGAATTAATAATATAAAAATTATGAATCTATAGTATAGAAATTATGAATCTATTCATAATTTGATAACTATATAGTTTAAAAATTATGAATCTACAATATAAAAATTATAAATTTACAGTACAGATATTATGAATCTACAATTTAGAAATTATGAATCTACAGTATAAAAATTATGAATCTATAGTATAGAAATTATGAATTAATAATATAAAAATTATGAATCTATAGTATAGAAATTATGAATCTATAATATAAAAATTATAAATTTAATTCCGTGTGCACATTGCATGGCGCACATGGTTGCACAGCATAATACTCCAAAACAGTGTTGTTAGTGTTATTACATTTTACTCCGTTAATATTTAATTTTAAATGTATAAAGGGTGGTTAGTGTTATTACAATTTAAAGTAAACTTACTTTATAGAGCAAATAATAACTTTAAAAAGAGTAGAAGGATTGTTAGAAGAAATATTAGGAGAAGATTTAAAAGTCCTCAAACTCTCAAAGTAGTTTTTCCTTTTAAAACATTCCCAATTTGGGATCCGGAGGCAATAAGAGTCTCCAGCAAGTGTACCTGTACAGATGAAAAAAGGGCAAATGATCTCTTCCAAAGTATGACTATACAAACCACTCCAGCCCTATTCACACAACTCACAATCTGATTACTGGAGCAATTATGCAACTATAAAAGTTACTAACAGCCCTATTGCTAACCATTAAACATTTGAGCTTTTGTCAACACACCCCCCAAAGGGCCATCGTCTCCTTGGCTCCTTTCTGACTCGGTACATTACCAAAGCATCCGAGAGATTGAATACATTACCAAAGCATCAGAGAGACTGAGCTAAGCAATTTTTGCACGGGAGTACTTTGACCACTGAACACTCCTCTCTGCTGTTCAAAATTGATAACAGAATCTTACATGAAGGTGCCTATTTCAAAGCAAGAATAATTAGACAACGCAACAAACTTACTGTGGTTGGGCATTGGTGATATATTTGTAGACCAAATTTCACCTTCACCGCTCAGGAAATTTCAGTAGACCAGATGGTAGATAGGGCAACCACCTCAAACTAGTATTTTCAAGTAATAAACGCAATCTAGTGGAAGAATCTCTGACGACAGCGTGCGGATCCGAGTTCTTCATACTCAGCCTTGGTTACACACATCGTTTCAAAATCAGGACTTGATGCCAAAAGTGATCCACCACGCCATACACCAAGTATAGGACTATATAAGCAAAGAAAAAAAGAGTAATGTTAGTTGCAGAAGCAAAAAAGCTTGTCTATAGTTTTTGTTTTAAGGGGAGAAGAATTTACTCTTCTTGTGTTGTAATCTTCACACGATATTTATCAGGGACAAGAGGGCGAAGGTCATTTTCTCTACAATTAAATAAAGCATTTAAATCAACTCCCAGATAAAGCATCAAATAAGATAAATTTATTTATTTAAAAAAAAAAAAAAAGACCTGCAAAGAGAGCAAAACTTACAGTCTTTCAGCAAACCGAGGAAATAGTGTACTTCCACCGGTCAAAATGATGCTAATCAAACCGAAGACACTAACAGTCAGAGACAATAAAATCACAATACTAGCAGCTTTAAAATGCTAGGACATGCACATTACCTCTCATAGAGCACAGGGTGAAGATAAGAATGACAGGAATTGACAGCTCGAACAATGCACTCTGCAAGTCCAGTCTGGTTCATTCCTGCAAATGACCAGAACCTTTAGGTATTAAAGAATTTAAACATAGAAGTTGAAACAACCCCCAAGGGAACATTTATTGACACACACTCATTTGCTAAACCACAAAACCAATGCAAAAAAACACTTCACAAAACCTTCCAACTAGGACTTAAAATAATGACACAACAAAACGTCAAAACCTCAACCATTTATAAATTTCTTAGAAGATAAATTTGACTATTGAAGTAAATGCTTCCCATGTTAAATTCAATAGTTCAACAAAAGTTTAAAATATAGATTTTTATACACACCCAAGTCTGCTGGACGGAAAATCATCTCAGGGACAAGGAATCGCTCATTTGTCAAGCTAAATTCCTGTTTAAAGAATAAAGAGAAAAATCATTAATAAGTTCAAATATCAAGACAAACAAATTCATGATACCAAATATTACATTTTTTGTCAAGTCAACTTTTGACACATCAATCCTTTTTCGATTATCAGGGTCATCATTATTCTTTCCATGTTCCACACTATTTTGGGTTTCTGTTGCTTGAAGTGGACTTGGATCATAGAGACTCATATATCTTTTTGCTTCCTCTGGTTCTTTTACAAAACCCTTTGTATATGTAACACCATCAGGGAGTACATACGTGCATCTGAACAAATTATCCCTGCCTGGCTTCCTGTAGGATTGATGGGAATAACCATTAACTATTTAAGTCTAAGATTGAGCAAAATGCAACTTATTTGCAAGAAAAATATCAGCCACATGCTAAGGAAGAAAAAAACATCTATAAATTGGTTATTAGCAGCCAGCTATTAAGAGAGGAAAACCAATCAGCCTAACCATAAATGAATATGATGGCATATAATGCATCCTTCAAAGTTCAATATCACCATTACTCATTTTACCTCATTAGTGTAATTTATTCAGGACTCCAGAACACCATGACTGAGAAAGATTTTGTTTCGTTCCTCCTTTAAAGCGGGCAAGGCAAAACTAATATTAATATCTGGTTTGATGTCTCCTTAATGTACTTTCAAACGCACATTTTGCCTCTGGTTCTTACCAGTTCTTAAACTTGTGCAAGTTCAGTTGCAGACTACTCAGATAAAATGTATAAAAATTACTTCATAATAAACCATAAAAACCCTTCTCCTTTTGGAAACTACATGACTAATGCAACAAGGATAGAAACTACAGAATTCAACAGCTTTATTTTTTTTTTCAGTCCAATATTTTGTACAACTTAATTCATTAAATGAATAAAAAAAATAATCCGTATATGTACATTCTATGCAACTAATATAAATATAAACTGTAAGAAAATTAAAAAGTTTAATCAAGTAATTCCAATTCTCTTGTTCAATCCCACCCCCAGCTCCCCCCCCCCCCCCAAGCCCCCCGGGAAACATGAATCTTTTTTGTTCCTTACCATTTCATAGAAATTATTACCACTTAGCTAATTAAAGAAACTTTTTTAAAATATTATTATATAATAATTATATAATAATAATAAACATAAAAGTTTTAGAAACACAAACCTAGCAATTTGCAAATCTCTGGCAACATTCAAAGAAACAAAGCAGAGCTTCTCTTTAACATCATCCATAAGAAAGCTTTCATCCATGAGATTCACACTTCTATAACTCACCAGCTCCTTCAAGTAATTACTCAGAGCCTTTCCCCCAAGATCCAACCTTTTAACCCCATAGTTGAGAGTGAAGTTCTGGAAAACTGGAGCAGCATGGGTGAAGGAGAACCCAGAGTCCACAACGAGGCTACATTGGGCCTTCGAAACAAGCCCATAGGGTCTACGGGAAGCCTCATAGAGATGGACCAAAGAAGGAGAATCTGCCACGAATAGTCCCCGGAAGTTGAACTCTTCAAAGATAATTTCATCTATGGAGCGTTGGATAGATGGAAGGGTGAATAGGGGTTCAGTGAGGAGGAGGGAAGATTGTGAGGGGGTGACTTTGAGGGTGGTGAAGATGTGGGACCAGATTGAGGATTGGAGGTCAGGGTTAATTACATGGCCACGGTCAATTGGACGGCGGGCAGTGGCCGAGGTGAGATCAGCATCTGGGCCAAGGAGTTGGTCTGCGATGAGCCACTTCTTCGATGAAAGTGGGCGGCCCATGCAGTTAGGAACTACAGCAGCAGGGTCTCTCTCGCCACCAATTCCTGCCTTGATTAGGCCACCACCATTGTCTACAACCACCACGTTCGACATGACCTGCACAGAATGAGACATAGACCTGAATGTGAACCTTTTGGGTGAGAGAGACTAATTTATGAACATTTTTTAACTATGGATGCAAATATGAAAAACTACAATGATTTTACTGTTTCTAGTCAAAACAGGACTTCACTTCCCATTTTATGTATTCCCAAGAAATAAATAAATTGGCATATTTCGAATCCGTATACAAGAAAAACAATACTTATACTACTGATTTCTATTAAAACAGTAGTACAAGTATCGTTTTTATGCTCATTTATACAAAGTACTTCAAATTGAAATAGCAGACCCTCTCATCAGTATAATGAATTGAAAGAAAACAACCATCTATTTTCAATGTAACCTTTAATCACAGCATACAACTAACAATTAAAAAAAAAAAATCAATAGTTCATTATAAATGTAGCTTTTAATTACAATTGGATACAAAATAAATAAATACAATGGCACTACAATTTTTACTTTTTTCATCTTAAAACACCTACAAATGGAAGAGGAAATACCGCTCTTTATCGTGCCGTCGATTCACCGTCAATTGGCCAGACTAACAAAGCTTGTGGCCGAGGGAAACGCCATCCAGTCACCGCGCCGAAAAGCGGTCAACGAGCCGCCGTAGAACAACGCCGACGCTGTCGTTACGAGAACAAAGCTGCCGCCATTGATACGAGAGCAAAGCTACCGCCGTCAAAGAAGAGATGAGAGAAGATGAAAGGAAAGGACGCTGCCAAACGCCGTCGAAGAAGAGAGGAGCGGAAAGGAAAGCTGTCGTCGCTGTCACGGTGGTGTGAGAGTGGAGGGTTAGGGTTTTTGATTTTGGTCTGAAGTTGAAATGTTTCTGGGTAAGGAATTAAGGAGTGAAACAGCAAGTATAGTGTATTCAATATAGACTTACATACACTTTTAAGGAGTTCTAGTATATGTAATTCCGAATCTTACTCCCTAAATTTTAGTCTATGGTAGATTTTGATAAATTATTTTTTTATATGTGAATCTCTATATCAAAATTTTATATTTGAGAATACAAAATGGAAGTATATATAGTATTTTTTCTTTTAAAGTGATGATTTTAAATGACTTTTGTATAATCTTTCTAAATTATTTTACAATTTTTTAAACTTTCATCAATTTTGTACCGAGTCTATAAAAATTCATAAGACAAATATTTATAGATTTTTAAAAACTTTTTTATATTAAAAAGTCTACAAAAATCATTAAACTCTAAATTGATATCAATGTATAAAATATGAGTATAGATTTATTATATCAATATTGAATATATTCACTAAAAAGACATCAATTACACCCCCCCCCCCCCCCCAAAAAAAAAAAAAAAAAACTAAAAACTAAAATGACATCAATTGATCAATCATCATTTAATTTTTTTATATAAATAAAATTAATGTATAAAAATATATTGTTAAAAACAACTCATTTAAATTTTTAAAATAATACTCATATCGATATTTTTCTCAATATATCATTTTAACAATTGTTTGATTGATCTATAGTAGTGACATAATAATGTACCTAACACTATGACTTGATGAGTCTACAATAGTAAGTTGACGACCTTGTTGTCGTGATTTAATAAATTTAGAACAATAACTTAATAAACTCACATAGTGAATTAATAAACATGTAGTTGATTGTGATTTAATAAACTTGTAGTAATGATTTAATGAACTATTACATATAATAAACCTATAATAATAACTTAATGAACTTACAGTAATAACTTAATAAACTTATAGGTTCATTAAAAATATTTAAAGAAACCATTAATGTGTGTCATTTAAAAGATCTTAGTTATTATATTTTAGTTATTTTTTATACACTAATTTTATTTGTTCAAAAAATAAAAAGAGAAAAACAAACTTTGGTATATTTTGATTATAACATGGTTTCATGTTACTATATAGATCACTAGTAATTGTACCCGTGCGATGCACAGCTATATATATAGTATATAGAATATACATTATATAATAATATAATAAGATGGAAAAATATACCGTTTGAAAACGTAACAAATTTGAAATGATAAACTTTGTAATTTTATTACACATTGTTGAAGACTTTTTTGTACACAACATTTTTAGTCGTACTTAGACATTGTACATTTTCGCCACAAATCAAAATTTTTAAACCCCTTGGGTTACTAACTCTCGAAACAACTACCTACATTTGGCAATGGTTAAAGACAGACATTTTAAAAAATAATCTCACTTTTGAGAGTGTTTGTCCTTGGCTTTTGTTTATTGCCATTGTCCTTGACTTTTATTTATTGTCATAGCATCAAAGAAAACTGCTTTCGTTGGAATTTGAAAGGCATTCTTAGATATGACGGTGTTAGTGACATTGTGAGAATTAAGACCCTTGTTTCTACATTTGTACCACACATGATCTAGGTTTCCAACACGTAATCATCCAATCTTGTAACAATCAACTTCATACCAATACACAGTCCTAGAGTGTGATCAATATTTCTCAAAAGCATAACAGGTGAACCCACTTTGAAAGTCAAAGCATGGTTCGGTACTCCAGAGCATCGCAAACCATTCAAGAATTATAGGGTGTGCAAATCCGGTAACATATCACCATTTGAATCGTACTTACAAACAGAATCACAGCTCAAATCAATCCTACCTTCAGTCCATTATGATCATTCATGTATTGATTAATGCTATCTACCACATCCAATCAATGAACAATGGTTTAAGAATAGGATCTAAATATAAAATAAAAAAATCAAACATCACATTTTTCTCTTTATTAAAGTTATTTTTTTCTCCAACAACTGAACTATAAAATCAAATATTATTAAAGAATTGCTTATTATGTTTCTTGTAGTTTTTATTTGAGCCACCAAGATTCTTCAGTAACAAACCAACATATTATAAAGTTTACTATTCTAATATTAAAATCTTGCTCAACACAAATTTTGTCTAAATTTAAACTATTATGATATTATATAAATTATAACATTCCATCCATAAGATACACCGCATAAAACTAAAATAATTTTATTGTTGATCAAGTGTTAAAAAAGATTGATAATGTATACATACTACACTATCTAACAATTATATATATACACACACGCACACATATATATTGGACATATATCTAAATTGAAATTGACATTGACATAACTAAATAGCAAAAAAATTTATGTGTAATGTATACATACTACACGTCTAATGTATAAATACATACAAATATCTAACAGTTATAATTTTATTCTAAAAAAAAAAACAATTATAATTATAATATATATAGAAGAAGAGAGAATATATCTAACACATAAATATTAGAATTCTCTAGAAGATCAGATGAGAGAATTCCTACCTCAGCTCTGGTCCATCTCTCGTCTCTTTCTCAGTATCTCTCATAGCTCTCTCACTATATTTTCATTTCCAGAAAACCCATCTACACTCTTGTTGTAGTAGAGATCTGGAAAGCATTCCTACCAAAAGCTTAGCTAGGAGCGACGATCAAGCATCTAGAAAATCCATCTATACTCTTGTTGTAGTAGTTTTTCATCTCTTACACGGTAATTTTTTTTTTTTTTAAATTTCATCCTTTCTTGTACAGATGAAGTATAATATGTACTAATTTCTGTAAAAATATAAGCTTAAAATTTCATATTTCAAGCATTGTTTGCCGCATTTCGTTCACAAAAGTACAGATCTAACCTCCATTTTTTAAGAACGGTTACAGATCCATACTTGGATTACTTGCTACCTAGTTTAAAAGGGAAAAATTCCTTCAATTTCGTCGGTCTTATGGACTTTTGGATTGCATGCAGAATTGCAGATAGTGTAACAATCATATAATCTTAATTCATAAAAGATAAGCTTTTCTCTCTTAGTCGATAATATTAATCTCTCTCAATTCTGTCTCTATACTAATTTTATGAGTGGTGAAAAGTTGTCTTAAAAATATGAAATTATTTGCCTCTGTTGCCCCCTTGAGACTTCCGTTCATTTCCCATTATTGTAGATCTGATCAATTTCCTCATCTGCCTGGATTTTTTGACTGCTATTTGGAGACTGTTGAATTCTTCAAAATCCAGAATGAATTTAAATCTTTAAGTTCATGATTTTTTCAAAACAGGCAACTTGTATACTTGAATTTATTCATTTGAATGTCTATCCTATGTTGTTTTATTAAGTAAATCTATTCATTCTCTGGACGCATGATTGTTTTCTAACAATTCTAACATATGAACTTAGTTAAAAATTTCATATGTGGGCGTGAAGTATTCTGAAATTTACAGTTTTCAAATAGGTTGGAATTGTTTCATGCGCCATACATAGTGTCAATCTATTTGATAACAGGTCCAACATATTCATAATCAAAATATACATATGTAATCACCACTCAAAAAATGCCACTGGGCATTTATGTGTACTAACCATAGCACATTAAAACCAACTTTGGTCATTGCTCTTTCATTTTAATTAAAGAAAAAAAGAAGAAAAAAAAGTTCTTTTACCACATTAAAAAGTTTATTTTAAAGTATACTGATAATCATTCTGCCGTTGTAGAGGTTACTGCTTGCTTTCCATCTGGTCAGAGTTCCTGCATTGTATTCATAATTCATACTACCTTATTAGTTTTAATGATAAAAATTATATACAGAAAAAGAAATGTTTCAGTAGGTAAAATCAGTTGGTAGTAAGCATTTTATAGTAAATTCAGATGCTGAAAAAAAAACAGTTTTACGTCATCATCATAGAACAAACATTCTAGGCTCTTTCTTGTTTGGCCACATCTATCCAGTATAAAAGTATTATGTTCTTTGGACTGACTTTATGCTGTACCGAAAAATCAACATATTTCGGACTACTCAGGTTATTCGCTATAATATCTCTGAAAAGTACTAAACTGTACATATCTTTTACTAATATTGACAAAGGATTAAGAGTTGGTACCTTTGTTATCAGAATGGTGCTTCCTTTTCCTACCTATGACAGCTGATCCAGTAATATGCTTCATTTCTCAATGATGGTGTTTTTATTTGCTATCCTTATACACACTGCTCCTTTTATATTCAATGTTAACGATATTAAGTTTTTAAATTTCGAATCCATGAGGTTTTGATATAATTGCAGGCTTTCTTTATCTCGGAATACTAAAAGATTAGCCTGGTATTAAATTTTGATGTGATCCAAACAAATATTGTTTAATTTGTTTAACATTGTATAATTTCTTTAACATGATAAGAGCCCATATAATTCCTATACATTGGAAGATTGAACCACCATTTGATGCTTGCATCATCATTTCAACTTTAAAACCATTACAATTGGTCTATTTATTTCTACGTATACTCTCTTTTGTTTGACTTATAATAGCATAGTGATTCACACATAATTCTAGTATGTGGTGCTTGTACATATAGTCAACTGTGCTGGAGATTTTTACTAACATCTGTTTCTGGATTTTGCAAATGATGAAATTTCATTCTGAAAACTACCAACGTGTCGCATGACTATTTGTTCATCCGCTTCAATTCTATGAGCATTAAGAAATTCTTCACACTTCATAACATGACATTGCTTCAACATGCAACTCCCACGGGTCGGACGGTCCGTAGTATAGTAGTGCAGTACGGTTGACATGCTGAACAAGGTGTTCAAACATGCAGTATGGCATTGCAAAAGACCAAGGCGAGACGTGTTGTACAATAAACCAACTTATCGTGCGGCCAAACGGATTGTGATGAGGTCCGAGTGTTTGGGTAATTCTACAAACTGCATTTTTAAACGAAACAACTTATTAGAAAAAGAGTCTATATCCCCAAACAACATTAGATAAAAAAATTAAAATATTTGTAACTCGTACACC